ATTTGAGAGATAGGTGGCGGTAATGCACTTATAAGTCTGCGATCCGCCGTAAAGCAAGAAGAAGAAGAAGAAGAAGACGCGTCACGAGCCGGCTGAAGAAGACGCGAACGCGTTCAGGATGCGCTCAGGACAGTTCGGACATTGCAGTATGTATCGTCACAAGCCACAGGGTTTAATTTGGTTTTGTTTGTGTATGTTTTTTGACTCTTAAAGCCATGATTCCCATTCACCTCTATTATACGACTGACAGACTGCAACGGTTTGAGTTAAAAATCTTTGTTTGTGTTCTACTGAAGAAACAAAGTCACCTACATCTTGGATGCCCTGGGGGTAAGCAGATAAACATACAATTTTCATTTTTGGGTGAACTATCCCTTTAACTGAATACAAAAATAGAATAGTTATTAAAACTACTCTTAAAAATGTTCACCATTGTATAATGTCTATCGTTTCACATACTATTTAAAAAAAATTATTATTATCATCATTTTTGTATTCTTGTAGCTTCATAAAATTGCAGATGAACCACTGATGTCACATAGACTACTTTAACGATGTCCTTACAACCTTTCTAGGCCTTGCACGTGTCAGTTGCGTTGCTGTCTATGCAGGGTCAGAAAGCTCTCGTATTTCATCAAAAAAACCTTAATTTGTGTTCCGAAGATGAACGAAGGTCTTACAGATTTGGAACGACATGAGGGTGAGTAATTAATGACAGAATTTGCATTTTTGGGTGACCTAACCCTTTAATTCCTCCCTTTGTATAATAAAAAATATATCACCACAGAAACACTCAATTAAATTGCCAACACCTAGAAAAAATGTGTGTTGCATGTTGAAATATACAGGTGTGACAGTCTCAGAGGAAAACATCTGGTCTCCTATATCCCCATCGCATGTATATCAGTAAAACTCCACAATATCAGTTACACACACACACAATCCATTTCCTATACAGAGGAAATCACAAAGAACAGCAGATTTAACAGAGATTCATGAAGATTATGAAAACTCTCCCTCCTCTCCAAACGCAATGTCAGCATCTGTTTCTTGTCGCTATGATCTCTATTAACCCTCTGGGTTTTGATAAGTCCCTCACAGGAGAGTTTCTTTTTTCAAACTGACACATTTGACACCTTCCAGGTGGTTTATATTCCTGTTTGCTCACACCGAACGCTGCAGGAATCTGTGGAATGACCGAATACAGTAACAGACTATTTATCAGCAGGGACAAAAACTATGACCGGCGGATATATCTTGATTACGACATACAAAGAGCCAGGAAAATCTCTCACGATTCCTGAAATATTACATGAACAATGTGATCTGCTTTATGTCCAAAGATCTGCTGCACTAGAGGACCACACACCACATATTTTTGAGGATTTTGCTTAAATGTTTGTAAGATTTCATTACTGTTTAACTTCGGAAACATGATCAAAGTAGCAAAAAACTTAACCCACTAGATAGATTTCACAAAAACTTCTACAAATGTTTTACAATAACCTGAGAGAATAAAACCCTCCTTTTTTTGTGAACTGATACTTTTCAAGGCATTGGTCAGAACTGAATAATGTCCCTTCCCAGCCACCATCACTCACTGTCCTGAGATACGCGCTTAGAGGAAGCAAGCTGCTCTGACTATGAGCCTTCTAGCTAAAAACCTTAGTGCAAATATCCTGATCTGGCATTGGTTGCTTTGTGGCATTAGAGACCATGTGGCTATTTTCTAAAACTCTGGATTACATAATAGCTCTTGTTAAAATGTTGTGCTTTAGGAAAAATAATATTGTAAGGTAATATTGTAAGCTGAAAATATGTGCAAAAAGATGAGAATCAGGCAAGTGAAGACTCCTTGGAGCAGAGCGTCAGGGCAGCATGTATGTGCCTGTGCTAGTGGTCTGCTGTGCGAGTGGAAACTAAGGGTAATTTTAACACCCTCAGGGTACAAGAAAGAGCAGATTATGAATGCGTATGATTTCAGCCTCCTGCTTTGGCACACACACACATTTACAGAAATAAATGGCCCTCAGCTCTTAGTCATGGAAATATGAAGGTGTATGGACAAATCAGTGACATTTTTGAATATTGGCGAGAGTGTAGCAGTAAAAAAAACAAAAAACACATACTGTCCCCAAACTTTTGAACAGTAGTTAAAAGTATGAGTACAGGAAAGTAATATTTGTATAACTTCTTGTGGCACATGTAGCCTGGCAGGATGGACACCCTGTTTGATGGTGCGAAGGTGCAACTTCTGACTTCTGATATTCTTAAAAGTCACTTACTTGTATGGATCGTTGGGATCTTGGGCATTACAGGCCTCAGCGTGGCCATTACACACACATCTCCCTCCAATACTGACGTCCTTAATACTGTAGTAATACTGACGAAAAAAATGCAGAGAATGTTACAGTTAGAATATTTTTTGTATCTGATGGAGCTTTGTGTGTAACTTCTGTCTATTAAAAAATCGTACTCTTCGTGTGACCGTGGGGTCTCTCAGGGCTTTGCCCATCAGGTGACCCAGCAGCGTGTTGGTGTGCAGGAAGCGCAGGCGGATGTTGGTGGCCTTGGTGAACTCCCTCAGAATAGGAGAGTAGGAGAAGTTCATGGCACCCGGACGTCCGTTCACCAGAGACACCACAATCTGGACATGTGTGAGAGTGATTTAGGAATCATAAAAAGTCAGACATCACAATAATACCTAAAGTATAAGTACTATAAGTATATAAGTGCATCTACAGAATAAGCAGGAAAATTAAGTCAGTGGGGAAGAGCCAGTGTTTGGACAGAGTTTGTCTGTGTCCATACCTCTCCATTCTCCAAAGGGACAATGCGTGAGTACTCTGTTGTGCAGATGATATCGTCATCATGGTTGATCCTCTCGATAGTCCTCTGGCCAAACCGCTCGATACAGTCTCTCTTAGAGGCTGGAGCAAAACAGAGACATGAATAAATCAGTTGAGAAAAGGTCAAATCAAAATAACTTTCCCTTGCAATGCAATGCCAGCCAAGGACTCTAGTTATTGTTACCACCTACAGTACCGATGGCCTTTAGTGACAAACAAAACAACTCAATATATGTGTGTTGCAAACACGAATGCCAGAGAACAAAGAGAACTGGCCAAACCTGACCTTCCTCACTTAACCCACACTTTCATTCCCATCACTGAAGGCCACACACTCTTCACAACGTTGTTTTCAGTACATAACATGCTCATTTCAGTTATACTCACAGGCGAAGAACTGCCATGGCTGGTATGTTTTCCCAAAGTCAATAGAGCGCTCCAGCACCCACAGGTCCGGCCGGGGCGAGTTGGCAAACTTGATAAGCACATATGCAACATGGAAAAGCTGGAAGGAATAAAAATTATTTCAACGTAAGTTCACATATGAATAATATCTTATTTTAATTAAACTGTAACAGCAGCAATCAGTCAACTTGGTTTATCAGTAATAGCCAGTAATAAACCCATATTGATTGACCACCAATATAATGAAGTTGATGACGTAGCCACCACCTTAAACGTCCTGCAACTTTTCACATGAAGTCATCACAAACTAACTCAAAAACAGCTGAAATCTTCTGTCATATCAGTCCTGTCTCTCACGCTGTCTGATGGGAGTGACCCTGCATTAATAAGCATCAGTTATGGCTGTGAGTTCATATTAATGTCAAAGCAAAGTTTTTACATGACTGATGGATTGATAAAGTCACTGAGGCTCACAGATGTTTTCCCACAGTGACTTAATCAAAGACATGGACATAATTGGACTGCTTTCCCTGAACTCACTCCATTAGCGTCACTCAATCAACACACAGTCATTCTGCCCCAGAGAGAACGAAAAGTGGAAGGAAGTAATGACATGATGATGACTATTAAATGATGCAATGCTAAGGTAATGTTGAAATGTTTCATTAATTATCATTGATCACCAAAAAAACCATCAAAATATCTGACTGTTATTTTACGTGTGTGTATGATCAATTATCAATGATAATTAATGAAAGTTAATTATTAATATATATGCATACATATAATGATTATATTATATGTATGCATTAATTAGACACGTTGCTGCCGAACACTTTTGAGAGACGCACAGACTCACAGATGTAATCTCCCTCTCTATCAATGGCTCAAGTCACCATTACTAGGTCTAAAATTACGTTTTGGAATTAGCAACGGAGGCGTTGGATGAGATTAATCCTACTCAGTCACAATAGCGTTTTAAGTACAAAAACTGGACAAAAAATGAATTTCAATACAGTAATTGAAAATGTTCATATTATTAATATATTAATATTTTAAATACTGTGTTTACGGCACATTTCCCTGTAACATCTCTGACGAAAGCTAAAACTTTTCCACCTGACATTAATTTGTGTTCGTTTTACTAGCTCTACCGCTCCCAAAACACCAATGCCACATTCTCATGGGAATGGCTGATCTGTCTAGTAGAGAGAGGGAGAATATAACGAGAAAAAATTAATGTGTGATGCCCATCAGCTCCTATAAAACTATAAGAGCAATCCATAGTGGAGCATCCTACTATAAACATCAGACATTCTTCATCTAATCTCTCTGGAAATGTGTCTTCCTTAAGAAAGCCAAGGGCTTAATGCTTAAACATCCATCCACTTCCTCTCTAAGCCCCTCAGCGCTGACAACACAGTATCCCCTTCAACACACACACACACACACACACACACAAACCATTCCCCACCATCTATACTAACTTCCACAACCCCTCAATGCAAAGCAACCCCAAAGCCCCTCTGCTACAAAGAAGCACTTCAGCCACGTCAGGGGCCTTTGTCAACGCAAGCCTCCTCACAGATACACAGAACAAAAACACATCTGTGGAAATATCTGAGGGGAGAGGAGAGGTGGAAAGGTGGGCTCTTTGAAATGGGGATCAGATGCTCATTCTTCCATCCGTCAGACGGACGGTTGGTCACAGGGGTGTGAATGAACCTGAACTTCAGACTGCAGAGAAATCCCAGCAGCCTGTGTGTGTCTGTGTGTGTGTGTGTGTGTGTGTGTGTGTGTGTACAGCACGTATATTAGGAACTTGGTGAAAGATGCAACACAAGGCAGAAAGTTTTAGAAGAGGATGAGATTACATCCAGTGATTTGGTTGTTTGATGGTTACTTATTGGCAAAAATAAGTTGCTGTGACAGAGTTTTATTTGGTTTGGCTGGGTTAGGTTTGCTGCAGCGTGAGGTAAATGTGTTTGAAATATTCAATAAAAGTCTAGTTGTGTCCAGACTCCCTTGGGCTTAATGATTGCATAAATTCCTCACTTTCTGCATTTCTTGTGTTTCCATAGTGATAAGAGTGGAAACACAGAGTCAGAGGACACATGAATGCTTGGCCAATCATTAAGCACCTGAGAAACACCTTGGTCAACAGGGCAAAAGAACACTGTTAAACAAAAGGGCTGATTCAGTTCTCCAGGTTGTTTCATTCTGGATTAAGTTATCATGTGTTATTTGGGGCATATTAAGACTTATTTTTTGGGCCCCTGATACACGATGAAGGAAGCTTGTTGCAGATATAAGTGAACAGCATCGGAGAGGTGATCTGTGCGTGTCTGAACATGCTTCAGTGTGACACAAATCCGGTGTGTAGAGGGACGTCACATTCATTTCAATCCCCTCACCATCATCTATACTCGTTTCCCACTCATATTTTCAACTATATTTTTCCATAGGGCCTTAAATGTTAATTGGCTATTTATTTTTCACATATCATAATATTCAGAGACAAACATAAAGAACAATTCAAGCAATTTTTCATAAGTCAAAAAATATTAGTAGCAAAATTAAAATACATACTGTCAGGACTGCGATACTGCGTAGGAGCGAGGAGCAAAGGATGCAGAGACACAGGAGAATTCACAAATACACAATCTTTAATCTTCCAATTCGGGGTAACACAGGGCAGGCAGGCACACAGGTAGCACAAGACAAACATTCAACACCGGACAAAGGAAATCAAGAACAGACACCACTATATATACACAAGACTAAACGAGGGTAATTACTAGGACACAGGTGAATTAAATAAACATAATGGGAACAGGAACAAATAAGGGAAAGGACAGACCAAATAAGAGCATAATCAAACCTGGGGGAAAACTAGGATATGGAGCACGTGGAGGAGGAAAACACAACAGAACAGGTTCATAACCCTGACATATACATTATTAGAATACAGGATAAGGAAGAAGTGAAATGCAGAAGAGAAAACAAATTCATCACCCCCTTTTGATATTTTCTTATTAAAATGGAATTACATTTATACAAAAAAAATCTAGAAAAATCTAAACCAAAAAAATTCAATATTTGCACAAATAAAACAGAATTTTGAATCTGATTTAAATTCTACAGATTTAAGGTTCTTTTCCTTCTTCAAGTGCTGTATTTTATGCCAGATTTTCATCAAACTCTAAAAAACTTACCTGAATGAAATAGTTTGAAACTTCCAAACAATTCAAATAACCAATTTAGTCTCAGAATGAATGAGTAATGAGCAGTGGGCTTCACACCCACTCAGTCCTTATGGGATTTTCCCTCTCTCCCTCTACTCCTCCTATCCTCTTCTTCCTCCCATCACTCCATTTTTTGGTCCCACTTTATATTAGGTGGCATTAACTACTATGTACTTACATTTAAATTAATCATTTAATACAATGCAATTATTGCGTACATATATGTTTTTGCATTGTACTTATATTTTCAAAAATACCTGCATGTAAATACATCAATCAATTTCTGTAATTACACTGTTGACCCATCCCTTACACCTTAACCCACCTTTAATCCTACCCATACCACCAAACCTGTCCCTAACCTTACCCGTATCCCACCTCAATAGCAGCAAAAGTGTTTTGCAATACAATATAAACACAATAAGTACATTGTACTTATCTTTTGATGCAAGTACATAGTAGTTAAGGCCACCTAATATAAAGTGGAACCCATTTTTTATCTCTACACCACATCCTGTCATGATGTAAGCTTCTGTCTGAGTACAGACGTCAGTGTTGCTCTGCAGGAATTCAGAGGAAAGGAACTGATTCTCCGCAGACGTTCCACAACCTCAGCATTCCGACTCCGGAATAATGGTCTGCTTATGGGGAGAGCAGGAGAAGGAGGGATTACCATGACAACAGGGGATGCCATAACAGCTGCGAGAGTCCGGTCACACACGTCATAAATCCTGTAACATGGTGAGCTGGTATGTACATGGGTGGCTGAAGTGAACCTGCGATGGGTCACGGGTCACTCCAGAGTTCAAAGTTCAAACACAGCTGCTGCCCCCCAGAGACAGATTATGATCCCACCCTTACAGCCCATTCCACACATGCCTGTGAGAGCTGTTTACTGCTATCAATTCACAGCTACACATTTACAAAACAGCCCAGACTCTAGAGTCTAGAGGATCTTATTACATCTTCCTACATGTAACCTCAGGACATACTGGATACTTTTTCTACTTCAAAACACAAAAATGTACCACAAGTGCCTAAAAAAATTAATTAAGGCAAAAACTGCTCACCTAATCGCTTACTTTCTTCAAATTCTTATGTCCAAGTACACGTCATTGTAGTAGTGATACTAAGCAAAACACCACTAATTATGCAACAGAAAAATGCTTTGAAAAAAGAACATACAAATCAAGATTACAGCATAGATCAGCCTATATAAGATCCCAACAAAACAAGTTAAGACTTGAAGTCAAGAGGCACATGGGTACAGATAAAGCATTTTTGGCTCCTCAAGGCAACGATGTCAGTAACAGAAGACAAAATAGTGAGTTGAGATAAGAGATTGAAAGGACAAGTAATGCAGAGCAGACAGAGGACAAGACAATAGAGAGAGAGAGAGAGTAATGTAAGCTAAATATGTCTGCAAGCCAGAATGTATGCTTACACGTGCATAAATGTGTATCCTTAAATATGTCTGCAAGCCAGAATGTATGCTTACACGTGCATAAATGTGTATCCTATATATATATGTATACATATATATACAGTTCTGTTCAAAATAATAGCAGTGTGTTTAAAAAAAGTGAATAAAGCTCAAAATCCTTATAATAACTTTTATTTCAATACACGTAAATGCATTGGGAACACTGCACATTCTATTCTAAATCAAAACTTGAAGAAAAATTGATCAAATTTGTTATTACTTTACAGAAAGTGAAGAAAAGGGAATATTAGGCTGTTAAAAAAATTGCAGTGTCCACATTTTTCTTTACAAAGTCAAACATTTACTGTATAAACTGAAAAATGCTTGAAGATTTAGCTTTCTTGTGAATCACTGATCATATTTAGTTGTATA